TCCAGGGTCACAGAAGATGTTTTACTTCTGATGCTGTGATGAAACAGCTGGATCAAAATAGAAATCAACTTAAGGGAGGAGAGGGTTTTTTTTTTTTTTTTTTTTTTTTTTTTTTTTGCTTACAAATTCAGGTCACACTCTGTTGTTGAGGGAAGTCAAGGCAGGCCTGCTTGTTATTTCACACAACCAACCAGGGAACTCACTTCACAGCCAAGAAGTACACAAGAACCATGGAGGGTGTTGCTTGCTGGCTGGCTTATGCTAAGCTAGCTTTCTTATAGGGTCCAGGACCACTGCCTAGGTTTGGTACCGCCCATAGAGGACTTGGTTCTCCAATTGACAATCAGGACAGGTCCCCCCCTCCCACAGTCATGCCCCAGGCCAAGCTGTTCTAGGCAATTTCTCAATTGAGGCTTTCTTCTCAGATGACTTTAGGCTGTGTCAAGTTGACAGTTAAAGCTAACTAGATAGAAGGGCTGACAGCTGAGGACCCCAAAGCCGGGATGCCGTCCAGGAGCAGACAGGTCATTTCTCCCTCAGTGAAAACGTGAATATATGCTCATGTAGATCATCCTCTGGAGCCTCAGAACAGCACTATCACCCTGGATGCTCTAGCATACAGAGCCAGCCACATGTAGCTCCCAGAGCATCATGAAGCCTTGCCTCTGGGCCTTTGCACATACTGCTTCTTTACTGACAACACCTTCCCCGGGGGCCTGCTAAACAGCCTTTAAAATTCAGCTCAACCATTACTTTCTCCAGAGGCCTGTGCTGAGCTCCCAGCCTGGGGCAGGGTTTTGGAAGAAAATATTATATTATTAATATTCCTCTTTCACTTTGACCAATACCCCACCCCAGCCCAGCCTGGCCTGGAATCTGAGTGACTGAGGATGAACTCCCAATCTTCAACTCCCAATCTTTTGACCTCCAAATCTCCAGTGCTAGGATTATGTGTATTATGTGTGTGTGGATTATCTGACCCAGCTATATTTTTCTTTTCTTTTTAAAAATCTCAACTTTTCTGAAGCTAGATTGCCTGCTTTTTAACTACATGGCTTTGGTGTGTCGCTTACTCTTTGCACCTTAGTTTCCTCTTCTGTAAAATGGGATAGCATCACACACACCCCGCTCAGTATTTTGTGATGATTAAATGCATTAATATGACTGAAGGAACAAGAAAAACACCAATTCATTACACATGTGTTCAATAGAAGTTTCATATTGCAGGACTGGATTAATAATCCATACTCAGTGATTAATAATCCACACTATTCTTGAAAAGGACCTGAGTTTACAGTCTAGCACCCACTTTGGGGCAGGTGCTCACAGCGACTTCTAACTCCAGCTCCAGGGGATCTGACGTTCTCTGCTGGCCTTTGAGGGTACTGCCACTCATGTATACATACCCACCCAAACACATACATATAATTAAAAAAAATAATAATCCCAGTACTCGGGAAGCAGAGGCAAGTGGATCTCTGTGAGTAGTTCGAGGGCAGCCTGGTCTACAGAACTAAAACAAACAAACAAACAAAAAGAATTTTTTAAAAACTAAAAATTAAAACAATGTTTTATATTACTGTACAATACAAGTGTATCATTTATAACAGATATACATATGTTGGAAGCATGTGCTTCTGAAGAGTGATTTACTCCCAGGAATTCTTGATCCAGAAGGTTTGGAGATCAGGTCCTGTAGCCAAAGATGAAGATTGCCGTCTTCATCCTTGGATCCTACTTCTAACCCAGCTGAAAAGATTCAGATAGGCAAACGCAGATTGCAGCCAAACTGGACACAACCCAGGCTAGTTCTGGCTGGGATTTGGCCTCTTAGGGATTTTTTTTTTAAGTTTTCCCACTTCTGTAATAGAATGACAGGTTTTAATTAGACAAAGGCTTCGAGACACCATACAATTCCAGGCTGGATTTAGGGTGAGGGGTGCCCTCTTGTGGCCTACTGGTGTTTCTCTCTTTCTGTACACCTCTGCTTCTGCTCTACAGGACAGGCTTTGCTGATGGGAAGGTCTCACCTGGCCCTGCAAAGCTGTCTTTCCACCTTCGGACACCAACACTCTCTCTGATGTCTCAGCCCACTCAGCCCTCCTTACTGTGTCAGAGTTTACTCCAAGTCCTCACCTCCTTCTACCTACGGTGTCTTCCTCATGAAAGGTCAGGCAGAGAGCAAGGAAATGTCTGGAATTTTAGAGCTTCAAATTCCAGCCTCAGTACTTATTGTTTGTGTGATATTAAGCAGGCTAATTTATATCTCTAGGCCCCCACCACTTTTGTAACTTGGAGTAACAATACCAACCTCATAGAGCTGCAGGGACAATTGAATAGGGTATTCAATAGTAACCAATAGTAGGCAATAGTAACCTATTAATACCAATGCACTACATGCACTAAGCAAATAAATCATGTGATCTATTAAGAAGTAAGTCAGAATATAGTTTCTAGCTAAGGAATTTGAAATGGGTTATTACAACTAAGATGTAGAATTTCCCTTAAATGTAACTCTAGCTAATGTACTGAGCCCTTTCCAAATGCTAGCTATTGTCAATTTGCTCAAGTTTCATAGCTCTCAATAAAAATAACAGCCAGTAGTCATTCAACTTTTTGAGTGCCAGGAATATGACAAGCTCTTCACATTCTTTGCCTACTTTTTTTCTCAACAGTCCTCAAAGGAAGATTTCACTATTATCATTCCCACCCTCCAGACAATGAAACTGAAATGTTCGACTTGTAGGGGAGACAGTTTACTTGATAAAGTGCTAGCCACATGATCAATAAGGGTTTGAGGTCAGGTCCCAAGCATCCATATAAAAACCAGGAGTGTCAGTGCCCTAAGTAACACTAGTACTGGGGAATGGATGGGGAGGCAAAGACAGACAGATTCTCAGAGCTCATGGGTTAGCTAACCCAGCTGAATCTCTGAGCTCTAGGTTCAGTGAGAGACCCCACCTCTAATTAACAGGGTGGAGAATGCTCTGTGAAGGACACTCACATTGACCTCAGGCCTCCACAAGCATGTGCACCTGTATGCACAATGCACCTACCCACACAAACACACATGTACACGAGAGGCATTAGCACTGTGCCCAAGGTTTTGCCGCTAATGAGTGTCAAGGCATGCACCCTGCATTGAAAGGTAAGTGACTTGACTCCAGAGTCCATGCTTTACCTACATGTTATCTTTAATTTTCGAAATACCATGAGATGTAGGTTCTGCTCTGTCACCTGAATTTTACAGCTGAAAAATAAAATCAAAAACAAATGTGATGCAGTGCTTTTCTCAAGGGTACACAGCTAGGAAGTAGCCGGGTTGGGATTTGGATCTATGCCTGACTACAAAACCCACATTTCCAGTTTCCTATTAGATTAGATTGCTCATATCTGTGAGTATTTACAGTGGTTATCTTAGTTAGGGTTACTATTGCTATGACAAAACACCATGCCCAAAGCAACTTGGGGAGGAAAGGGTTCATTTGGCTTACACTTCCACATTACAGCCTGTCATTGAAGGAAGCTAGGACAGGAATTCAAACAGGGCAGGAACCTGGAGGCAAGAGCTGATGCAGAAGCTATGGCGGAAAACTGCTTACTGGCTCGCTCAGCCTGCTTTCTTATAGAACCGAGAACCACCAGCCCAGGGGTGACCCCACCCACAATTGGTCGAGCCCCCCCCCCCCCCCCCCCCCATCAAGCATTAGTTGAGAAAATGTCCCACAGGCTTCCCACAGCCCATCTTATGGAGGCATTTTCTCAACTGAGGCTCCCATCCTCTCTGATGACTAGCTTGTGTCAAGTCGGCGTAAAACTAGTCAGGACAGTGGTATGGAGCAACCACAAATTATGCTAAGATTATTCAGCAACAAGGATTAACGTGTTTCCAACACCCACGAGGATTCAAGCTCTGTACACAATTTACATAATAATGGCCAGTATCTGTTATCCATTATGGATCCTGGCTCTGAGTGAACAGTTCCAGGTTTATTGTTTGACTAGCGCCCTCCCTCACACAAACCTGTGACGTGGGTGCTATTACTGTTCTTACTTTACAAGTGAAGAGGTGAGGCACAGAACTCTTCCAAACCACTCAACTAAGTTGTGACCTGGAAACCATAGTTTCAACTATCCAATGGTCACTGTAGTTGTTAGGTTTCAAACCTGGGACAAATGGGTGAGGTGCCTACTTAGTATATCAAAGCGAACTTGACCGCCAGGTTCTCCCTGCATCCTTCAGTCCCTACGGGCACCTCAGCCATTTGTCCCAGGTTTGAAACCTAACAGTAGTCACCCTCCTTCTTTTTTTACTATTATTTTTCTCTACTTTCTAAATTAGCGATCCTCGATTCTTTAGAGAGCCCCACCTCTTCTAACCTAGGCTCCGCCCACTAGGCGGTGCCGTCACCGTACAACCAATGGAAAGAATCAGGGTCGGCCCGGGCTACGCCCCCAGGCGTTGACCCTGCCAGATTTGTTCCGGTGCCAGAGCCTATGAGAAGATGACGCACTCATCGGCTGACGTCATCTGAGAGGCGGCCGACAGGGGGAGTTGTCCACCGGTGCTCCGGCGATGCTTTCTGGGAGTTGTAGTCTCGGAGACCCGGTTCCTGGGCTGGCGGCAACTGGACTCCTGGTCCCAGCGTCCCCCGCACGAGCTTGGGAGCACTTCCGCCCTGTTGTGAAGTGGGTGTCTCCGTGGGTGAGTCCGGGTGGCGGATGGGGTGCAGCTGAGACTCAGGCGCTGGGCTGGAGGCTTAGGAGGTGGTGGTACCCTGGGGGGCCTGGGAAGGTGAGAGGGGAAAGTAGCGTGCGTGAGTGCGTGCGTGCGTGTATGTGTGTGTGTATGTGTGTGCGCATGTGTGTGCGCGCGTGTAGAGGGCGGGCAGAGGATGCAGCGTCTGGAGATGGGCAGGGTCACCGAGGGGTCGGGACGAAGAGTGAGTTGGAGGGGCCGGCAGTGAGGCGGGTCTTACAAAGGTCTGCAGGTGAGGTGGAAGGGATGGGTTTTTGCCGTGTAGGGAAGTCACCTTAGGGTCTGGAGAGCACAGCGAGAGAGGATTCTGAGGGCCCTGGCAAAGAAGTGAAAAGGCCCTGATCTGGAAGTCTGAGCTTAAACTAGTGCTCCATTCTCCACACCCAAGTTCATGCCATCTGTAATGGGACTCGCTTTTGTCTTTAGCCCCAAACCTGTACTTCTTTCCTCATTCCTGATGGCAGCGAAAGGCATCTTCATCTACTGACCCACCCACCCTCTACTGACCCACCCACACTGGGCTACTTGTTTTACCAGCGGATTCCTCCTGCATTCTTCCCCATCCATGCCGTTTCGCGTCTTGCGCTTTCTTTAGTAGCTCTTCAAATTACCTCTGTCTTCTGAGGGTCTCTGCAGAAGTGTCCACATTTTCGTTTCTCCAGCTCCGACAAACATTGCAGCCAGTGCTCTCTGTTTAGCGCTCAAGTCTGATTGTACCTTCGGTTCTCCAGCTTGGAATCCACCACTGGTGTGCAGCACATGTGGAGTAAAATCTGGTATTATAGTATCCTCATAACTCCCTTTGCAGTCCACTTTTCACACACCCCACACTCTGCGGCTGCCAAAGTTTTTCCCATTTCCTGGTGGGCCATTTGGGTCTCCACTATTCTATGTCCTATCTCTCTGCTGTCCCCATCCCCCATTCTCTGAAGAGAACCTACTCAACAGGTAATTCCTGTTGAATTCCTTTAAGCAGACTGTCACCTCCAACTTCCCAGCTCCCAAATCATACTGTATTTACCACTTTTATTAATATAATTGCCTGTGACTTTTTTTTTTTGTCTCTCCCAGTAGACAGCACCATCAGGACAGGAAGTGTCGGGCTCATCTCCATTTCCCTCTGTCCAGCTCAGAACAGTAAACACCTAATGTAGATCAAGCAAATGAGTAAATGCTTGGCGAGTGTGGGCTAGCGATCGTCAGGGTGAGCTTTGTTATCCCGGGCTTGAAGATGGCTAAGGACTTCCAGGCCTATGAGCTTCAGTCTTCCTGCCGTCGATGTCGGCTATAAGCTGATGGGGGTTTAAGGCCAGCCTTGGCTAACACATGGGGATACATGTAGCTAACACATAGGGATACATGTAGCCATTGCTAATCCATCACAACGTCTCTTCACGCAGAACGGGTTTCTCAGCAGACTACTCTAGGTAGTTATCTCCAGTGACTGAAGTTGGTGTGCTAAGTGAGGTCTCTCTGCTGTTTCCAGTTTGAGTCCTTAGGTGTGACTCCCACCTGCTTTAAGCCATAGCTTGTAACTCTCAGCCAAGTGGAACTGACAAGCTTTGGGAACTGCAGTTTCTTACTGTTTGGAGGTCCCCAACCAATCTGGTCTTTTTTTCAGGTCCCAGGGAGAGTCTTCTCTCCCTCTCTTATGGTTGCAGGAGCCAGTGGAGGAGAGAACTTATGTCCACACTCAGAGTCAGTGCCCCAGGAGCCAAGTCCTTGCTCAGCTTTCCCATAGTTAAGTAGTCCCAATTAAAAACAATTAAATCTGAGAATCTCTTACTTTGAATTCTGGTGGCCCTGATTTTGATTAAGCACCTCTCACTCTTTTGGGGAGCCTGCGCTCCTCCTGAGTCCTTCTGGGTTTTGTGGTGGTTTATTTAGCTAAGAGGAGACATAGTGGCAGCCCCTTTGGGGTGAAGAAACTACCGTGCTTTCTTTAATCCTCATGGTGTCTGAAACAGTTCTGAGAGGTCTAGTTTCTCTTGGAAAAGGCAGAAGGACTGGGGACATCCTGAGCCTACCTCCCCTCAGGGCGTCATGGCTGGTCACAGTCCCTACCCTTTCCATGTATTTACTCAGCTGTTCCATTTCGCTTCCCTGCCTGCTTATTCTGGCCTTGTGTACAAGTTAGCCTGGGGCGAGAGCTCCGATGGGAGGCCACAGGAGGCTGTCTGACCTGTCCAGGGTCACACAGCGTGGAAGGAGCAGAAGCAGGTCTAGAGTCCATCTTCTCACTGTTCCCCGGATGTCTCTTCTGTCTCCCATAGCATAATTCTAGCCGGTATGAGGCTATGGGATGTGATTGAGGAGAATGATGGGAGAAGACTGACCTGGGCCTAGGTCCTAACTGCCGTTTGGTAGTTTTCTCTCTTCCCCCAGCCCCCCCCTCTCTCAGAAGCTCGGCTTTCCTCTCTGCATCACAGCTTGGGCAGCCTTCGGGAAGGAGCCATTTCTTTTGGTCACAGCGCACTGTCAAAAGCGCACTAACACAGCCAGGTTTCCTAGTGTGAGCAGGAGACAGAAGAGTCAACTTGGGTCTGGTATAAAGCTGTCGGAAAGACACCCCACTTCCATTCAGTGACTAGAAAGGCTCAGGAAACTAACAGCAGGCAGAGAGTGGCAGAGACAGAGGGGTCAGCGCCATGTGCCCACTCTGGAACAGACACGGACGGAATCGACTCTGAAACTTAAATAGTGTCACTTCTCTCTCTCTCTGGTCTTGTGTGTCACGGAAGTTACAGGTCAGTGACATTCAGCTCAGCACTAAAGGCCTTCTACTAGCTTGCCTGGAGGATTCCTTGCATATATGGATGGAGAATGCTTAGCATATACTTAGTGTTGATAAAAGATAAAAGGCACCTCATAGCCTCAGGCCTAGAGTCTGCCCCTACCCAGCTCTTGGCTGACTGTGTTGACTTCCCTTCCCCCACAGGAGTCTGTAGTCCATATGGAGAAGATTGATATATGATCCCCTAGGGGTTTCTGGCATCTGTTTGAAATGAACCTTAGAGGTTTTTAGGATATTTCTCCCCACCAAAAAAAAAAATATTCTAGGCTCTGGCTTTGGGACTGGTGGCTGGCTGCTCATTGCCTGATGGATGTCCTCTTTATGCAGGAGCATAGGAGTCTTTGCTTGCTGATTTACTGTTATTGTTGGGTCTGTAGCTCCCAGGACAATGCAGAGCACGTAATGGGTACTCTGTGAATGCCTGATGGGTTAGTCCTTGTGTGTGATAGTGACAGATAGGTGTTTGGATTAGTGTATCAGCAAAATGTGTTTATACGAAAAGTTACGAAATGTCAATTCTTTAACTCATGGACATTCTAACAGATTCATATATTTAATGCAAGGCATCAAAGTTCCTTAATGGCTCTGCTCTTTATCACATATGAGGCATTGTTCTGGCCTTAGTGACACAGTGTAGTGGCATTGGCCAGTGTAGGAACAGGTGACGACAACAAAGCATGGGTGAACATTTCTGTCAGAGGTGTGTGTCAGCTGCTTTGGGAACAGGATCAGGGATGTCGGTAGGGCATGACAAGAGCACACCAAGGAACTCTTCCTGAAGGAAGTGACAGGTGGTTTGGTAGCAGAGGGATGAGCCAGTAGTAGCCCAGTGGCCATGCATTTTTCTCCAAGCATCTTCCTAAGTTCATGGATGTCTTTATGACCATTTTTTTTTTTTTTTGGTCACCTTTGCCTTGTTTCCATACAGCCCAGTCAGATGACCCAGAATACCAAATGCCATCGTCTAGAACCTCTGGGTTCTGCTGTGCCATTCCAGCTTAGATGCAGACAATGGCCTCCGTGGGTTGGGTGTGTTTCATGTCATCAGACTTGCCATGAAGAGCTTGTTTTCTGAGGGAACCCAGTATGGGTGTCATCAGGGAGCTGTCCTCACCTTAGATGCCAACATGCACATGTCCACACAATGTCTTATAGAAGATGGTGTCACGGAAAGGTGGAAGTCGGAGAGAAAAGAACCCTTTTGATATGGGCAGGAAACCAATTGCTCTTTGTCTAGTGTGATCCTGGCCTCACAAGTTCACCATCCACAACTTCCTGTTCCTTGCGCTTCCTCTACGTGCTGAGCACTGTGCTAGAGCCATGGGAAGCTGGGGTCTGGCCGGTATGGTATTTACAATAGGGTGATCATGGTTGCGAGGGAGCGCCCAAGGTGCCGTGGGAGCTGGTGACTGAGGACGAGAAGGCCCCATGGGAAACGTGCAGGTTCAGGAGAGAAGTAGGTAGGTGAGGAAGGACTGGTGGTGGCTCTGTGGAGGCCTCAGGGAGCAGTGGGGAGGACCCGCAGGCCAGGCAGTCAGGTGTTCCGCAGAGTGGACTGGACTTTAGGGTGAGGGCTGGGGAGGGAGATGGCCTGGTCATGCATTGGAGGGCAAGTGCAGGATGGGCTGAGATGGTTCTGTGGTGGTATTGGTGGTACCGAGGATGTAGTGGCACTGAGGATGTAAGTGCCAGGTCTTCGTGGTGAACCAGGTGTGGCGTCTGGAAGAAAGGAGGATGGAAAGCGACACCTTGCACTGAATGGAGAGCTCCGGAAGACAGAGGGGCTTGCCCTAAAAGATGACAGACTCAGGATTTCATTATTTAGTTAGTTAGTTTTGGTTTTTGACTCGGAGTTTTGCTATTGTAACTCAGTTTGGTTTTGAACTTAGGATCTTCCTGCCTCGGCCTCCTGATTGCTAGGATTATAGGTATCATACCTAATGATGTGTTCAGTTCTGACCCATTGAACACGAGGCATTTAGGGGATAGTCAAGTGGAAATGTTGGAGTCATGAGGCCCGCAGACCGCCTTGCTGGAGTTTTGAGAAACTTCAGTTTGGAGATGATAAATAATGTCAGATATGAGGGACGACCGGAGAGTGTGAGGGATTTTGCAAGATGACCATCCACAGAGGAACACTGAGTCTCAGGAAGTCTCAGAAGGCAAGTCTTATGGAGGAGGTGGCCCTCAGAACCAGCTTGAGGGAAGGCTAGCTTTCAGACATGGTGTAGAAGGGAGGAAGGCCACACCAGGACTGGAGCCCAGAGGCCCAGAGTTCTTGCCTTCACATTTAGGCATGTCCCGAAGGGTGTAACTTGGTGCTGTCTGTCTGTAAAGTGAGCTAGGTGTTGGCTTCGACACCTGATCAGGGTCTCACTTCCTGCCCTTTGCAGTGGAGTATCTGTCCTTTCACAGGCTGTGGGGAGGTTTGATAGAAGTGAGGAAAGTGATGCTCCTGGGTCCTCTTGCTTACTCGGCCCTTTGTCTTTCTGCCTTCACAGTCTTGGGGAGCAGTCCTTCCCCAGGAGTCCCTGGAAGGACACATTGCCAATGCAGGAAGTCCCTGGATGAGGACAGCCCCGCCATAGTGAAGCCTGCAGGCCCAATGATGGCTGTGGCCTCGCCTCCACCAGAGCCTGGAGACCTCCTGATTGTGGAACTAGAAGAGGACTCCTGGGGACCAATCTCCAAACCCCAGAAGGAGGTCCATGGCCGTGTCCCTGGCCCCGAGGTTTCCCGCCGGTGTTTCAGGCAGTTCCAATACCAGGATGCAGCTGGGCCCCATGAGGCTTTCAGCCAGCTCTGGGCTCTCTGCTGTCGTTGGCTGAGGCCTGAGATCCGCCTCAAAGAGCAGATCCTGGAATTGCTGGTTCTAGAACAGTTCCTGTCCATCTTACCCAGGGAGGTGCAGACCTGGGTGCAGGCACGACACCCCGAGAGCGGGGAGGAGGCTGTGGCCCTGGTGGAGGATTGGCACCGAGAGGCCTGGGCTGCCGGACAGCAGGTGAGGCTCATAGTCTGCTCTCCAAGAAGCTGGTTAGGCAAGGTAGGGCGGCTGAGATTGAGTTCATAATTGCCCCCAAATTGCAGTAGTAGTAATCATTGAGCGACGGCTGTGTACTGAGCCCTGCTGTGTAGCAGGTCCGATTCTAACTGCTTGACTTGTATTAACTCATTTAATCCTGCCACAGTTTAATAAGTCGGTCGATACCGTTAGGGTAATTTTACTAGTGAGGATATGGAGGCAAAGAAAAAAATAGATAATTGGTTCAAAATCACTAGCTACTGGGTTGTAGAGCCAAGATCTGCTCTTAGAAAAGTCTAACTAGAGTGTGTATGCCTAACTACCATCGAAACTGTCTCCCAATACCAGACAGTGTGCCTAGTCTGTATTATGTTTTATGTTTAACACAGTCATTATACATACTTGGGTCTCTTTGGATGCTTACAGCAGCACATAGACAGAAATTGTATTCCTGTCCCCATTTTGTAGATTAGGGCTTCAAAAATCACATGATTCCCAGAGATCACTTGAGCAGTGAACCAGAGCCTAAACTCCGATCCTTGGGCTTCAAGGTCAGCTCTTTCCACTGCAGAGCTGATGTTTCATCTGCAAACATGGAATTGAAACGCCTCCGAGTGTGAGGCTTGGGTGAGGCGTTCACTGACATTCTGTGAGCACCCACTGCACATCAGGCCCTGTTCTGAGTCTCTTCTGTATATTCTCATCCAGTCAGCCCCACGGTCTGAGAAGGTTGCTTCCCCTTTTGCTGTTTTTTAAGTGAGTTAACAGTGAGGTAAGTAACATATCCAATTTGTATAGAGAAGTGGTCGAGCCAGAAAGGGTTATGGATTCAGCATTCACAGTTTCAACAGTTTGTAAGCCACTCTGAGGGCCTGTGATATGTCATTTTCCTATGACACAGAATGTGGGTCCTGCTTGCAGCTGCCCTGTGTAGTGAACTCCGTAGCTGGCTTCAGACTGAGGCAGCCTTCCAGAATCTTCGCAGCTCTCCACTTGTTACAATCAGAAATCCCCGTGGGTGGCCTCAGACTTGACCACATTTGGTTGTGAGGACTTTGTGTTTGAGAAGACGTATGTTGTAAATGACAGGCTTTCTGTCCATTCAGACCATAAAGCTCCAAACATGTGAGAGTAGGGCAAGGGAGGGCTAAACTTGGTGGCTTTGCTCTGGGGTTCCTTTACTGACTGGCGGAAAGCTACCATTTCAAATCAGAGAACAGAGCATGAGCACATGCCTTTTGAAAGTACGCTCCGCCCCTGTGACATTTCTTTCAAGATGTTAGCTGTTTGCCGTAAGCTGCGGAGAGGAAACAATGGAAGGTTAGGACTTTGGAGCTGGAAGATGCACACGTGAGACCTAGAGATGAGGATTGCCTTAAATCAAGGTCTTTGATCCTTCATCTGTAAAATGAGAAGTGAGACTAGACACCACTGTGAGCTGACCAAAGGTTGGTCTGCTTCTAAAATAGAGACGGGAAAGCAGCGGCATCTTCCCTGGGTCCCCTCCCTATGACTTTTAATTCTCCAGCTTCTCTGCCTGCCCCCGGGTGCTCACAAACTTCACGGCAATGGGTGCACATGGAAGACCTTTCTTCAGCGCGTGTGCCACAGCTTGTGGCCTTCACACTGTGAGCTCTGCCGCGTTACCCTCTCTGGAGGCCACATCTAACACTCCATAGGAGGATGAAATTTCTGTTCCTCAGGGTGAGCCACCACCTCAGAACGGTCAGTGCCTTCATTCAGGGCTAAGTGGCCCTAAGATGATTCCCTGAAAGGGGTCTTTGAGTGCCACTGTCTTTTCATCTGGTGTCACTCATGTGGAACTCAACTCTTCCACGGGTATTCTGATAAGGCATACCATTGTTTTTAAGATAGTTTTCAGTTCAGAGCTGAGTAGAGAGTACAGTGTCCTCAGAGATGCCCTGACTCCCTGGTAGACATCATCCCCCAGCAGAGTAAGAACATTTATTACCCCAGCGAGCCTTTGCTGACATCATCATCACCCAGATCATGTACTTCACACTGAGTCTCGCTGTTGGTGGGATGCATTGTATGGGTTTTGGCAGGCACATAATGGCATGTATCCACTATTATGGTGTCATATAATAGTGTCGCTGCCTCAACACTCCTGTGTGTTATGCTTACTAACTCCTTCTCCTTCCAACCCCTGGCAGCCACTGATCTTACTACCATCACCTGGTGTGGCTTCTCCCTGAATGCCACAGAGGTGGAGTTACATGATCTGTGGCCTTTTGCATTGGCTTCTTTTACTTAGTAATGCATGCTTAGTGCGCCTCCGTGTCTTTTTATGGCTCGGTATTGCTTTTCTTTTTAGCGTGGAGTTCTGTTCTGTTGTCTGGCTGTACCAATTCTTCCAGTCAAGACTGAAGGACATCTTGGTTGTGTCTACATTTTGGAAGTTAGGCATGAAGGCACTGTAAATGTCACATGTAGGTTTTTATGTGCATATAAGTGTTCATGCCATTGGGTAAAACTGAAGTACATTGTTGGATCTTATGGCAAAGGGATGTTTATAGTCTTATAAGAAATTGCCAAACTGTTCCAGAAAGTGGCCGTACTATTCTGCATTTTGCGAGCAGTGAGCATGGGTCTCTGTCGTTGCCCAACTTCGGTTTTGTGTTTGGATGCCAGGCAGTCTGATAGTTGTGAAATGATATCACATTTTAACTTGTCATTTCTTATACATGTGGATGGGTGCACATATGAGTGAGTTTGTATGCACATGTATGTAGAGGCCAGGGGTTGATGTCAGGAATCTTCCTCAATAGTTTCTCCACGTTAGTTTTGAGACAGGGTCACTTACTGAGCCTGGAAGTCACTGATTGGCCAGAGTGGCTGGCCAGTGAGCTCCAGGGATCCTCCTGCCTCCGCCTCCCTGGTGCTGGGATGACAGGTGTGCACTGTTTTTAATGCAGGTGCTGGGATCTGAACCCAGTTCCTTATCCTGCTGTGACAAGCACTTGACTGACTGAACCTTCTTCCCATCCCCCAGTTTGCAGTTTCTTAAGAGTATAAACACCTTCTCATGAGCTTGCTTGGCGTCTGTAAGTCTTTGGTGAGGAGTCTGTGTTATTCTGGGTGTTTCCCTCTCCATATAAACTTAGAATCAATACTAGACAAAGATCCAGCAAAGAAAGAATTATAGGCCACTCTCCTTAATGAATATAGACATAAAAATTCTCAATAAAATACTTACAGACCAAATTCAAGAACACATCAAACATATCATCTACCACAATCAAGTCAGCCTCATCTCAGAGATACAGGAATGGTTCAACAGTAATTAATAAATGTTATCTTGTGCATAAATTGATTCAAGTACAGAAACCACATGATCATCTCATTGCATGAAGAAAAGGCCTTTGACGAACTCCAACATCCCTTCACAGTTAGAATTCTAGAGTATCTGGGAATACAGGGGACATATCTCAACATAATAAAGGGTATGATAAAAGCCCACAGCCAACATCAAACTAAATGGACTATTTCCCTAAAATTAGGAACAAGACAAGAATGTTCCCTCTCTCCTCTCCTGTTCAATATAGTGCTTGTATTCTTAGCTAGAGCAGTAAGAAAGGAGAGAGATAAAGGGAGAAGCAAATAGGAAAGGAAAATGTAAAAATCCTTATTCATAGCTAATAAACATTCAAAAAAGTATCAGGATGTAGAATTAACACAAAAACATCAGTAGCTTCCTATATGCCAGCAACAAACACTGAGAAAGAAATCAGGGACACGTGATTATTCACAATACCTCCCCCCCCCCCAATCCACCAAAACCTTGGAATAAAGCTAACCAAGAAACTGAAAGACTCGTACAGTGAAAACTTTAAGACACTGAAGAAATACCAGAAGATGGAAGCATCTTCCATGCTCATGGATTGTGGATTAATATTGTGAAAATGGTCATAGTACTGAAAGCAGTCTACAGATTGAATGTAATCCCCATCAAAATCCCAACACAGTTCTTCATAGAAATTGAAAAAAATCTTAAGGTTCATATGACCCAGGGTAGCCCAAACCATCCTGGACAATACAAACCCTGCTGAAGGCTCACCATCTCTGATTTCAAGTTATACTTCAGAGCAACAGTAATAAAACCAGCATGGTTCTGGCATTGAAACAAACACATCTGATAAACGAGATAGAAACGAGGGCCTCGATAAAAGCCCTCACTCCTACAGCCACCTGATTTTGACAAAGAAGCAAAAAAGTATACTCAGAGAAAAGACAACTGTCTTAGTCACTCTTCTGTTGATGTGAAGGGATACCATGACCAAGGCAACTTAAAAGGAAACTACAGTTTCAGAGGGCTAGTCTGTGATCATGGCAGGAAGTGTGGTGGTGGGCAGGCATGGTGTGAGAGCAGTAGCTAAAAGCTTACATCCCGATTAGCAAGATAGAGGGAGACGGGGAGAGAGAGACAGTGACAGAGACTGGGCCTGGTGTGGGCTTGAAACCTTAAAGCCCACCCCTGGTGATATACCTTCTCCAAGACCACACCTCCTAATCCATCCTCAACAGTCTGCCATCTGGGAAGCAAACACGCAGACATTTGAGCCTGTGGGGGATTCTCATTCGGAACACCACAGCAGCATCTTTAACAAATGATGCTGCTCAAACTGGATTGCTTGCATGTAGAAGAATGAACTAGATCCCCATCTTTCTGCACAAAACGCAACTCCAAAAGGATCGAAGACCTCAACATATGACTTGATAGCTTGAATGGGATAGAGGAGAAAGCAGGGACTATGCTTCAGTTTACTGACTCGAGAAAGGATTTTCTAAGCGGGGCACAGGTATTAAGATTAACATTTGACAAATGGGGCCTCATGAAACTAAATAGCTTTGTACAGCAAAAGGGCATCATTATTTGAGTAAAGAGACAGCCTACAGAATTGGGGGGAAAACTTTTCCATTTATACATCTGACAGAGGGCTTGTAGTATCTAGAATAGA